GCTCTTAGGAAAGCTTGTTGGGTGTGACTCACCAGAGAAGAGATGACTGATTCGCCAACTCAGATCTGTCCACTCTTTCTTGGTATACCGCAAGACCTCTTTCTCGCCCTCGGAGGCCTTCACATCTTTGAGGATGACGACGTTCATAGCATGGAAACTATCCAAGATACGGCTGGTCGCGCCTAGAATGACTTTGAAGCTCTTGTCTGGGAACGGGCCCTTGAGCTCGAACTCTGCGGCAGCTGATGCTCGCAGCGTGTCCAGATGAGACAGATACCGACGAAGTTCTAGTTCTTCGCGTTCGGACATGTACGTGTACGTCCGGCTTGTGCGTTCGTTGGCGTCGAGTAGGGTCTTCAGAGGCCCACGTTTCCAGATCAACCCCATCTTTAGCCATAATAGAGACGTGCCCTTCTTGACTTTGCGGCGCGCAGAGATAGGCCAGATGACTCTCGTCACTATGATACCCCATATGCATCCAACCATCACCGCAACCACACGGTGAAGTACAATCTCCCAGATCTCGGGTGAGATACCACCCTCATCGTCATCGTCGTCATCGTCCTTGACCGAGAGCGAGTATGCGTAGAGTGCAGAGAGATTGTAGGTCAGCAGGATGAAGCGACCCATAGGCCCCTTGCCCTTTCCAACAATGATGTAGAAGCAGAACAAGGAGATGATCCAGCCGAAGAAACCCAAGACGAAGGCATGCTCATCAGCGGCGATCCATGCGGCGATTGCCAGAATAGCTCCGAGACATGTACCAGCAAAACGTTGGAAACCAGTAGTATTGGAGGCACCGATGGTCATCGAGCACACCAACATGTATGACAACAAGCCCCACTCGCCACGCCAGTGACCGTAGAACCCTCGAGTCGACTGGATGAAGGACCACATGGCGTAGAGGACTGCACCAATGCCAACCTTGACGGCGTATTTGAGGTCGTCTCTTCTAAAGACGGCCAATGATGTCCAGATACGGTATGAAAGTGGCTGCTCGTTTTCTGGCTTGTAAGGGTCTCCACGGGTCGACTTCCGGTAGATGGGGTTGTGGATCTCACGCGAGCCTCCTGGTGTGTGGGCCTCTGTCTCATCAATAAGATAGGCCTCCTCAGGGCTGTCTCCCACCTTATCCTTCTTGCGCCCACGCTGCCAGAACCTCAGCCAGCTGTAGGTTCTTTGCCGCGGGTAGCGATTGACATCAGCTTTCAGCTCTTCGAGGATGTCAAGGAACGACACCATGTCTTCAGCGAAGTCTAGAAGCGACGAACTAAAGTATCCACAGCTTGCGGCAACCTCCTCAAAGTCTGCTGCAATCGCTGCAGAGCTGGTCCTCGTTGGTATCTTGTTCTTGTAGACAGCCGAGAGGGCTTCCCGACGTGCATCTGAGAACAGGGCCTTAGCATCGACTAGACTGTGGCGAAAGTGCTCGTTGATAGCCATGTTGTACTCGGGTCCAGGTCCAAAAGGCAATTCAGAAAGGACCTCGCGTAGTGTGTATGCTAAGGATTTCTACTGGTATTAGCACAATTCGCAGACAGCAACTCTTAAACGTACCATTGGTGGTCCCAAGCTAGCAATGAACACCGAGAACATGTCAGCAGGCGTAAGGTCTGACTTCAAAAGGTTCGCAACTTGATCAGACTTCTTCTTGGTCGGAGTGGACTCGTCGTCGGATCCAGCTGCTGAGGGATACGCAGATGCTTGGGAACTTTCCGGTAACTCGTCGATAGATGCAAGGATGCTGGTTCGCCTCTCGGTATGGCTGAGACTGGGAGACATTTGCGGAGGACTGAAGGACATCGTATGGTCCGAGAATATCGACGAGTTTACCGTTCCATTAGCGGGTATTGATCGTTGGGATGTGACGCTGGCGCTGGGCTCGGTCTCCGATTGCGCCAACAGTGTAAACTGGGTTTCCGCAGCGCTCCGCAATCCACCACAGCTCTGCATGAGCTTTTCTAGACATTTGACCAGTTTCGCGTGGATCCTGTACTCTTCCTCAGTACCCAGCGCGTAGTGCTCAAACTTGGCTTCTCCCAGGTTCTTTACAAGTGTTTTGAACGTTGACTGGCTCTTGTTCGATGCTTCGACATATGATTCGCTCTTGAGGTCTGATTCAGCACCGGAAAGGAAGCTAAGGGTAATGTTGTTGAGCATTTCTGCCATAGCATCTGTCGATTGGATGAACGTATCGCGGAATTCGTTGCGCGCCGACTTTGGTTGTACGAGGAGCGATACGAGTGCTGAGGCGGAACAGCCCATGATTATCATCTTCAGAACCTGCCAGACTTTGACGTAGGAGAACTTGGCTGCCTGAACAGCTCCCTCCTTGGTCAGGATCGTGATGAGAGCTAGCGATGTCAGTGAGCAAGCCACGTTGACCAGTGGATTCCCAAGCTTCTGTTTTGTCCATCCAACAAGACCCAGACCTCCTCCACAGAACACAATCAGTACTATCACATGCCCAAGGACCAGCAGATCTTGATTTCCAAAGTATGCGGACACGGCCATGCTAGAGAACGATACGAAGGCGGCATACAGAAAGGCAGCGAAAGCCAAGATGACAGCCTCCAGCATGCTGCCGGCCGAGCGAGCTGGGTGGAAGTACACAGTGATAGTCGCGACTATGTGCTTCCCATCGTTCTTGCCCAGTAATCCTGCGATTGCTGGTACGAACGTCGCCAACGATCCGAGGACATAGGCCAATGAGCACTTCATGATGCCAATCCCAATAGGACTCGTCGCATACGCGTAGCCTTGTCGACATTTGTTCGTAAGCACCACCTTTGCAAACTCGACTCTTCCCATCTCCCGGTGTCTCTCAGCATCGTATTGGCCGGGCGCAAGTAGGAACTCGGAGGATTCGGTCGGTCGGTGTTGGGATCTTCGTAGGGTGAAGGACCTCTTGATGCGCTCGCCGGTTTTGGGCTGCACCATAGTCGCGCTGCGTAGCTATAGGATATGGTCAGCGCATCGCCTACACGATCTCTGGAGACGCGACTTACGCTGGGCCGCAGGAAGCGGCGCTCAGCCGGGGTTTGCGGAGCATCGTTAGCCATCGGAGAGGTCGTCGACCGTATACTCTAATCGGATTCTAGGACATGGCGACTGAAGTAGCTGTGAGAGGTGCACCGTCCAAGCGCGTCTTGGTGATTGTTGGTCGTGAACCCTGCAGATGCCCAGATCGATGGCACTGGCGCTAACGCCACAGCCACCCACGTAGCACCTCCATCGGTGCTTACATGTTGTACTACCTGCGCACCATGAGGAATGAGGCTGGTAGCTTCAGCGCTCGCAATCACCGCGTCGAGATGTCATAGAAGCGTGACGGAGAACGCGCGTGACGATGTTGAGGTACAGTTGCCGAGGTGAAGACTAGCGGCATGCTCCACGCGATTTGGTCATCACCAACGATACGATGAACTCGACACCAACACTCGTAGCCCTTCTTCAAACGAGCTACACGCCAACAATTTGAATCATTACATATCTACGTCCTCACGTTAACCTAGGAGAAACTGAACAAGTCTGCAGCCTACATTAACATGGAGATATGCAAATAAATAAGATAACTTTTCAACACGACATTGTATGCTGAAAACGGAAACATGTAGTAGTGTTACGTTCGCGGATAGGTCAGATTCGCTAAGATGGTTCTTCTACATCGAACCACCTAACCGCTACCCTCTTGCCGCTTCAATCGCTCAAACAACTGAACAAAAGCCTCTGGTTCCTGCGCACCTCCGATCTCAAACTGATCGTTAATGGTAAAGTTGGGAACGCCTGTAATCTGTTGCCGGCGCGCCTGCTGGACTTCCTTGTCAACTTCAGGTCCTCCTTTGCCTGACTCCAGCCAATCCTTGATCTCTTTCTCACCAAGTCCAGCCTTAATTCCTGCCTCGGTAAGGATCTCTTGAGTGGTAATGTCCTTCTCATTCTCAAAGTACGCGGCGAAGAGCTCCTCGATCACGCGAGTCTGCATCTGCGGACCCTTAGTTTTTCCAAGTTGCACAAGTCGGTGCGAATCGCGTGTGTTTCCAGTCTTGCCGCCGTACTTGAAGTTGATTCCCTCGTCTTTGCCGATCTGTGAGAGTCGCTCTTGCATCATTGCTGTGCGTTCTTTGCCGAATTTGGATTCGTACAATTGTTGCTTGTCTGCGCTCTTCGGCGCATCAGGGTTCAGATAGAATGGGTACCAGCTAGTTTGAAAGGTGTCACTGGAGTCCGGATGTTTCTCCTTGTCTAAAGATTGATGTACGAAGTCAGTAATGTCTCACAACATTTTGTACATGGATATTACTTGCAGGCTGCGATACCCTTTTCCAGGCGCTTTTTCCCCACATAGCACCATGCTGTAACTTGGTCAGCGCCGGATACATAGACTGAGATGCGTTATCCATGAACACTTACGGCATACAGTGTCGCTGACAATGTCAACCTTGAAGTTGGTCATTTTGCGTAGACTTGCTCTGAACGCCACGATGAAGTCTTGCGAGATGGTTTTGCTGTTGAGGTGATGTCATCGCTGCGAGACTGCTTGCTCTTATACCTACATGGATGGCGAGTGCTGCTGACAAATTGGTAGTGGATGTCGAAGTTACGATGATCGGCCAAACTCGCCCTTCCAGCCGCTTCCGAGGTTGTTCTAGAACATCGATCTCTTCCATCGCATCTACGCAGGCCTGCGTTCTCACCCGGACAGCGCATGCGACAACACCACGCTACTCACTACTTGATCTGCGTCGGAGTACTGATCGGGATCTTCTGGGCTGCCTGCTGTTGACTTCTAGCTCACGCGGTTACAGATTCAACGTGGTCGATCTTGCCATTCGACTCGACATGGATTCCAATTCTGCACACTCCAGCGGCATGCTAATATACAAAGTCAAATGCTCACTAACACCGCGCTATGCTTAAAGACAGGCCGTCGCTCATCGCTGTCAGAACAAGCAGCAAGACTCTGTATCCAGACCACGCAAGGCCTTCCACCCAGCCACTTATTTCTTTGGCTGCTGCCCGCGTTCCAACTCCTGTCGGAACTTTGGACCACGGAAAATGACCAGGATGATTCCTGGTATACAGAGGAGATCTATGATTCCCAGACCGGTGAACGCCCAACCCCAACCCATTGCATCCAAAATGCTGGCCATGATCAGTGAGGAGATCGCGGCAGCCATGTTGCGCATGAATCCTGCCAAAGCCACTAGACTAGCCGCCTGGCCAGGGTCGCACTCAGTCTGGAAGGATGTGCTGGTGACGAAGATGATAGACATGCCGATTGCAGCCAAAGCCGTACAGAAGAGGACCGCTGCGGGGTGAAATTGAGCGAGCGCAAACCAGCCGAACATAATTTTTCCAGCCGCAGCGATGACGAAGCCAAAGATCTGGATGGTAATTCTTCGCTCAGGTGCAACCTTGCCAGTAGAGCTCTTCGCAAGAGCCCTCTTCCGCATCCGGTCGGAAAGTCGACCGACGACCATCGAAGCAACGAACATCGCAATACCAGGACATATATAGGCATACCCAGTCTCTGCTGCCGTCCAACCGTAAGCCTCCTGCCAAATGGTGGCAAAAGAGATGAAAATGGCATACAGTCCAGCAAACTGGAATGCTCCGTTGAAGGAAACGATCAAATGTGGAGGGTATTTGAGAAGATGCAGGAACTTTCGAGGCGTTGGACGGGGAGCTTTCGGAGCCCTCGAGTCTGTACAAGGCTGTGTCCGGAACTTGGGTATCGAAAACCAAGGCTGATTTGCGACAGGTGCGCCGTTGCCTACCAGCGATCGCAGTGTCTCTGGCGTACAGAAGACGATGAGGAGATATACCGGAAAACTTGCGATCGAGAGGAAACCGAATATCCATCGCCATCTACTCTCGTCCGCGAGTGCACCACCAATAAGCGGACCAAGGACAGGGCCAAGCTGAGGTCCCATTAAAAACCATGCTAAAGCGGTTCCACGTTTGGCAGGCTCAGTGATATCGGCAACGGTACCGGCTCCGACGGAGAAGACGATACATGATCCGAATGCCTGGAAGACACGGAGAATGTACAGCTCCGCGATATGTGGTGGCAGCACAGCAAGTAGGGTATTCGCGACGAGGAAACTGCCGAGTCCGACTATGTACACTGTTTTCCTTCCGCCTAGATCTGAGGCGGCAGCGCCGAAGAGAGGCTACGCAATCTTAGTTTTGCATTTCGAGCTAGCGGTACGGATGACTTACGGCAATGGCGAACACCATCATATACATTGAGACTGTACCGTTTACCGCAGTCTCCGATGCATCAAAGATCTTCTCGAAGATCTTCAGAGAAGGCAAGTAAACAGCTCCGCATAGTGGTCCAAAGAAGCCCGCCGCTGTAACGACGCCTAGAATGAATCTTCTGCGATTCACCGAGAAAGCCGAGTATGGTTCTGGCAACGATGGAAGAGCAGTAGGTCCATTCGTTGATGGTTGCTCGGTTTCATTCCGGGGTTGCGCTAAAGGGTAGTCATCGCTGTCGATGCTCTCACGGTACCGGCCATTATGGCGATCCTTCACGAAGTCGATTGGGGAACGCATGGCGAAAGAAGGAGAGAAGTATGCAATACGATGCGGACAAACGCTCGACGAGGAGCGTCCTTGGAACCCAAGAATACAGACAAGACGGATATGTACGGCGACGTCAAACCTAGATTGCCTAATCTTCGGAGCGTTCTATGTGCCGATGACGAGCAGCGCTGAACTGCAAGATATGAGACCTAATCCCAGGCGCCATTGTGTTGCGCTTGACAGGTCGCAGCATAGCCCTGGTTTCTGCACTGCCTGTAGGAAGGCGCCCTGGCTTAAGGGCAGTATTTTCGTCTCCGCTGCGGTCAGGTTCCCACCAGAGGGGTACTGAGCCGCATCCTACGCCACATCCGCATAGTCATGCACCCTGCTGTTCTAGCCTCAGGGCTTGCAAGTCGCGGAATGAACTAGGTGCGCGTCATTGTTTGTGTTGGAAAACGTCCGATACAATGACCCGACAGATCAACCCGACACCGCGACTCGTGGCAATGACCCGACATAAAATCCAGCGATACACACGTTATTACTTGTACGTGTGATCACGTATGCAATGGCTAAAGCTTGCTAGAAGTATTATGTGAAGCCATCTTCGTTACGTCTGCATCCGGCTCGTCATGCTGCGTTTCGTGGTGTGCGCAGATGTGGCGGCTACCCTATTCTACGCATAAAGATGTTCGTTATCGCCGGCGATGGTAAAAGGTGGGATGAAACAGTCACAGCCTCCACCAACGATTTGAATCCTCTCAGGCGTCAGGGCATTCATCTCGGTCAGTAGACTTAGAACAACAGGTGGCGCAAGCTCTTACCATTTGTCTCCCCGCTTCGCTCGATCCGGTCGCAACTTTAAGGCGTCTGTGTTCATACGCCAAAGTATCCGGCTCTTACATCGTACTCACGCATATCCTCAGCACATCGTTGTGGTTCATGAGGCACAGTGAGGGCGGGCGAGTCCGCTTGGACGACGACCGTGGCAGCGAAACCGGACACGATATGGACGTCGTCAGTGTGATTAGTCGAGGGCTGACGAAGTTTACCGCCTATCCGGACTCATCGGGAGTCACTGCTGGCTTTGATATGACATTGCATCGGGTTGAGCATGTATGTCGTGCGGAAAACGCAACAAACATACGATACGTCTGAGACCACCTGGGTGGTATCAACAAATAGCAGCAAGAGTATACCTGTAAACGTCATCGGCTGATATACTGTTGTACCAACACCGTCAGCGCATGTTTACCCAGCCAACTACTTCAACGCCGCGCGATGCACGTAAGCCCATTGGCCCAAGTCCATCGTCGCCCTCCAACCGATGTCCCAAAGACAAGCATCTCGAAATGTTGGGAAGCTCAAAACACTGTTACAACAACACGTATACCCACGCTCTGTTCAACGATCGATCTGTCGTTGCATCCAACATGCAGCATCGCATGTTCATCCAGCCTGCCTAGACCCTGATCTCATTCGCCTTTCGAGTCCCGCAACCAAAACCCCGGGACACGACTGCACGGCTTCCCACTGCGCTTGCAATAACAATTCATCTATCGCACGTTGGCTAAAGAGCGCTCTGCCTGTAAGCTGCACTCCCAACACGTGCAACATAAGCGGCCCGTTCCCCTCGCATCACCAACAAACAACCACGACCTGCATGCCATCCAACATTATTCCGCGCCTCAACACCTGCCGCGCAGTATCGTCTTGTCATGATTGCGCAGGATGCGGATGAGGGCGCGAAATCTGCTCAAAACCTTGGAAACCTTCTCACTTCGCTTACCGGCTAAACCTATTCCGGCATAGCGCTCTGCGGCCCGCCCTTGCTCTTAGGGCCTGTTTAGCGATTATTGTATTTAATATAATACTAAGAATATAATATTATACAACTTATTATATACCTACGTTTAGTAATAAGTAATTTATATAATAGTAGTAGAATATATTTTATAAAATATAACGTATTTAAAAGCTATAAAATATATTATATTATAGTCTAATTAGAGTAAAGAATTTTATTATATAACTTTAAAAATTATTTTATACTTTTTAGGCGCTATATAAGTATATAATAGTAGTAGAATAGCTTAAATTAGTTAAAAAAGTAGTTATTATTATATAATATATAGTAAATTAAAGCTTTACTATATTTTACTACTACTTATAATAAAGTATTCTACTACTACTTATAATAAAGTATTTTACTACTACTTATAATAAAAGTATTCTACTACTACTTATAATAAGAGTATTCTACTACTACTTATAATAAGAGTATTCTACTACTATAGTATAATAAAAATATTCTACTACTATAATAATTAGCTTACTAGCTCTAAGACCTTATTATATTCTACTACTACTTACCTATATTAGGTCTATAGGTATTCTACTACTATAAACTAGCTTACTAGCTTCTATAGTCTTCTTATATTCTACTACTACTTATACGCTCTAACTTTATTATATTCTACTACTACTTATAATAAGAGTATTCTACTACTATAAACTAGCTTACTAGCTTTTATAGTCTTTTTATATTCTACTACTACTTATACGCTCTAACCTTATTATATTCTACTACTACTTATAATAAGAGTATTTTACTACTATAAACTAGCTTACTAGCTTTTATAGTCTTCTTATATTCTACTACTACTAATATACCTCTAAGCTTTCTATATATTCTACTACTACTTATAATAAAGTATTCTACTACTACTTATATACTCTAACTTCTATATATTCTACTACTACTTATAGGCCTCTAACCTCTATATATTCTACTACTACTTATATACTCTAATTTCTATATATTCTACTACTACTTATATACTCTAACTTCTATATATTCTACTACTACTTATACGCCTTTAAGCTTTTTATATATTCTACTACTACGCGCTAGCTTACTAGCTACTATCTCTAAAGTAGAATATTCTCTTAAAGTAGAGTAATTCTATAGTAACTCTAGAACTTACTAAGTAAATAAAAACTAAGGTAGCTCTACTATAAGATAATAAAAAAAGTATAAGATTATTAATCTACTTAGTAATATAGAAGAGTTAGAAGATAAGACTAGAAATAATCTTAAGAATATAATAGTACTATATCTACTTAACTTACTAATATACTTCTAAGTTTATACTAAGTTAAAATAAGATAGAAGCTCTACTTTACTTATAGTAAGCTACCTTAGTAGGTACTATTAACGCTAGAGGCTTTACTTATAGTAAGCTACCTTAGTAGGTACTATTAACGCTAGAGGCTCTACTTATAGTAAGCTACCTTAGTAGATACTATTAGTGCTACTAACGCTTAATACTCTACTTATATAGTTCTAGTATATATAGATAATAATAGCTATAGTAGCTAGCACTATACTTACGTAGTAAGCTACTTTAATAGTAACTAGTAGTACTATTAACGCTATACTTCTTTTTACTCTTATTAATAGCTATAATATACTAGTAGCTTTATATTTTACTACTATAGTAATTAGCTCTTTAGTACCTAAGACTCTATATTCTACTACTATAGTAACTAGCTTACTAGCTTCTAAGGCCTTATATTCTACTACTATAATAACTAGCTTACTAGCTTCTAAGGCTTTATATTCTACTACTTTATATTTTACTACTTTATATATACTTTTTTCTATATCTCTTTACTTACTAAGCCTACTACTCTAGTAAGACTTAGGCTATATTTTTTTTAAAAAGTCTCTTATTAAGATAGCCTAAATATATAATAATACTATAGATAGAAATAAAGTATTATATTCTACTACTCTATACTTATTCTATATCTATAAAGATAGTCTAGACGTATAATAATACTATAGATAGAAATAAGGCGTTATATTCTACTACCTCTTACTTATTCTAGATCTATAGATATTCTACTACTATAGTAACTATCTAATAAGCCTCTAAGCTCTTATTATATTCTACTACTACTTATTTAAACTAGAAATATAGATATTTTACTACTACTAGAATTAAAGTATTCTACTACTTTATATAAGTAAAAAAAAGTAAAAAAAAAAAAGTAAAAAGAAAAAATAAATAGACTAGAGATTAAACCTAGAACTTTTATAAATAGATATTATAGTTAGATAGTAAGTATATAAAAGAAGTAAAATAATCTAAGTTAAGTTCTATCTACTAATATATATCTATAGCGCTCTACTACTAAGCTATCTATTTATATTACTTAATAATTAGTAGTTACCTTAGTTAGTATATATAGAATAGTAAGAGTATAGTAGTAAGAGTATAGTAGTAAAAGTATAGTAGTATACTATTACTACTAGTAGAGCTAAGAAAAGCTATAGCTAACTACTTAGTCTTTTTATCTAAGAAACTAAAGAGTAGAGTTTTCTAGTAGTAGAGCTAAGAAAGACTAGTGCCTTCTTCTAGATATACTATCTTACTTAGAACTTTCTCTCTTATACTAGACTTAGTAGAGGTAAGTAGAGAAAAATATTAGTAATAATCTTAATAGCTAGTTTACGTGCTATAAGTAAAAAAGTACTACTTTTATTATTATATAGCTTTTATATTATATTACTATTACTACTTAGTTCTTTTATTATTATAGTTCTATATTATACTACTACTACTACTAACGTATATAGAGGCTGCGTCTACTAAATAAGAGCACTATTCTCTAGATATAGAGGTATTTCTATAGCGTTTACGTAATAAAAATATACTCTAGATATAGTAGTGTCTATTTATATTTATTTAGTTTTATATATTATACTACTACTATAGTTCTATATTTATTTAGCTAGTTTTACGTATTCTACTACTAACTTTAATAGTAGAGAAAAAGTAAAGTAGAAGTGTAAATAGAAGCGTAGTAGTAATATATACACTTAGCGCTATTATTATTAGCGCTTACTACCTATCTATACTTATATTCTTATAATATATATAGAGATTCTAAGAAATAATATTACACTACTACTATATTTACATTATAGCTTAGCTATATTCTAACTTTAATATAAACTTTAA